GATGATGCACTCGACCTATTCAATGAAATGGAGACCAAAGGAACTAGACCAGATGTTTTTACCTACAACTCCCTCATAAGTTGTCTTTGTAGTTATGGAAGATGGAGTGACGCCTCTCGATTACTTAGCGATATGCTTGAGAGGAACATCAACCCAAATGTTGTCACTTTCAATGCATTGATCGATGCATTTGTGAAAGACGGAAAGCTTTTGGAGGCTAAGAAATTGTATGAGGAGATGGTCAAAAGGTCTATAGATCCTGATATTTTCACTTACAGTTCACTGATCAATGGGTTTTGCAAGTCTAATAGAGTAGAGGATGGCATGAAACTCTTTCGTGAGATGTCTAAAAGAGGATTGGTTGGCAATACAATCACTTACAGCACTCTTATCCAAGGGTTTTTTCAAGGTGGAGATTGTGAGAATGCCCAAGAAGTGTTCAAACAGATGGTTTCTAATGGTGTGCCTCCCGATATCTGGACCTACAACATTTTGTTGGATGGTCTTTGCAATAACGGGAAGCTAGAGAAAGCATTGGTGGTATTCCAGGATTTGCAAAACAGTGAAATGGAACTCGATATTGTCACATATAATATCATCATCGAAGGGATGTGTAAGGCTGGGAAGGTTGAAGATGGGTGGGATTTGTTTTGTAGCCTCAGTCTTAAAGGAGTGAAGCCTAATGTTATAGCCTACACCACAATGATCTCAGGATTATGTAGGAAAGGCTTAATGGAAGAAGCGAATGACTTGTTCAGAAAAATGAAAGAAGACGGGCCTCTCCCAAATGACTGTACATATAATATGCTAATCCGGGCACATCTTAGAGATGGTGACAAATTCAGATCAGCAGAACTCATCGAAGAAATGAAGAGTTGCGGGTTTGCTGGAGATGCTTCAACAATAAGCTTGGTCTTTAATATGCTGTCTGATGGGAGATTGGACAAAAGCTTTCTCGATATGCTTTCTCATCGTCCTCGATAGAAAAGTTATGAGGTGACTTAACGTTTTTACTGCTATTTTAATGGCAACTTCTCATTTGATGTTTTATCTGAGCTTCATGGAATCTGTCTGATTTTATTTGTTATTTCCTTTCTAGGTTTCAGACAAGAATTGATGATGCAAACTCTTGTTGACACGGGATCAGTGCTCAGACATATCCAGAGAAGCTGCTTTTAAGAAGAGTTCAGATATAAAAAAAATGATACAAGTTTTAATCGTTTCATTCTTTGTTGTTTTGTCATTGATTGGTTGTAACACTGAAAATATTCTGTCTTATTTCTCCTTCGTAGCGCAAAAGTATTTGTGACATTCGATTGAACTTGTTCTGGTTTCGAGTTTGATGGTGCAGCTTAACAGTGGTGAATATCAGATTTGGCTAAGTTAAACTTATATGTTTCATGTTCAGTAACAGGTGATAAGAAAGACTGGAGAAACATGATAGATGTTTGAAGCAGATATGATATGGAGGATCTCATACGAACGGTTTCGAAAACGACCAGCCAGTATACTTCTTCAGGTGCAGATTTGTGCTTTGTGTTTTCTTTTAAGAAATTGATCCTCTAGTTTTTCAACTGTATTTTGGAAACATTGTTTCAATGATG